TTTCAGTCAAATACTTCATTGATATCATCACATGCTCGTGAATGATTCAAAAAGTGCCAATGACCGTGTACACCTATGCTAATTATTAAAAAACAAAATTACTGAACTTCTAAGCATCAATAAGATAGTATATCAGATGAATTGATTGAATCAGAGTTCTGTTCTCTGATTTTTTTCATTCCGAAACAAAAATGTGAACATCATTTGTTGATTCAAGATTGTATCAAAAATGTATAATTATAACGACACCTGTGGCATTTGGCACAAGAGTTCTATTTCAAAACTTTTCTTGCTGCAAAACAAATCATTGGACTTGAGTTAATGATTGAAATTTGTATGGCAGAAGCATAGATTTTAGGACGATGGAATTCACTTATCACTCATGTTTTATTAGTGGAAATTGAAAGTTCTTCGACAGATTATAGTTGACAGATAATGCGAACAAGTAGGATGACCTTTATAATCGATTCAATTATGTTTCTTCCTGAAAACCCATATTCTATTATGGTTGAATATGAACACATCAAGAAATATATGACTACTCATAGCAACTGCTGTATTCGTCTACTTTGTTGTGTTGTGATCAAACGCTCTAAGAGCCTTTATTAATCGGTGATCACTAAGTTAATAAATAATTTCGAACGAGTTGCTCAAACGTGCCAGGTACAGCGAGTTCTTGATGTTCTAAATGAAAATTTTAGGCAATTAAGAAAGCATACAGAACGTAAATAATGACTTAATAACAAGTCTGTTAAAAGGTAAGTGATAAACTCCATATAAATTGTCCAATGAAGAGTGTGTGACTGTGGGCGTGGGAAAAAACATGAAATTACTCAAATCACACTCACACCTGTTGAAGGAATCGATATGTCCTATCGACAAGACAGAACTCTCTCATGTTGGCCTCAATTGGTGGTCGATAGGCAGAACTGATCCCACATGGAGCAGTTGTTGAAGTATGAAACCAAAAGAGTCATTTTTACGAAAGTATTCTGTTTTATTCAAAGCAGCATACCTGACTTTCGCGGAAGTTCAGCTTTCCATAATACTGTATGTGATGGCATTGTATTCTTCGACACAGCAACAGCATTTGCTGCCACATAACTTGTCTCGTTCGAACCTGAACGGAAAGAAAACAGTCTTATTGTTATCCGTACGAGTTCATGGTAGCAATGACATGAGCATTTTCGTTTATTTTCATTGGTGATCAGCTTATCAACCCACCATAAATCAAGAAAATAGGATAAACTAACTTTAGAGCTAATAATAGGTTTGTAACGGTATTCAGAAAGCAAATCAAGCTTCAAGTTAAGTAGTTTCCTTTTCCGCTATCGCTCATCACCATCACAAGAGTTTCTGATGGTCATCCTTGAACAACGCTCGAATACCATCATTCTATTCTTTTGTGGCAAAGGCACTGAAAGTGCTCTGTTTATAGACTCGAAGTTTTCTTTGAATGTTGCCTCTTTTTGCTTCTGTCTAGAGAAATGTGGAGCACTTCGAAATAAGATCTACACAGTCAATAGCACATATCCAATATTCCGAAAGAAATCCAATACGCAGCTCATTCTATGCCTAGTCTTAGACATAATCTTTCGCGACAAAATTCTAAAATGGTTCATCAAAATCTTAAATAGCTAAGAAGAAACCTACTTTTAATTAGGTTTTTGAATATTTTCTTTAAGGTATTCTTCTATTTTGCAAAAAGAACCTCCTTGGCATTAAAAGAAAGAAGGTGTGGGTTTGAACGAAGAGACAATGCACCCACACCCGCACCTCACATCCACGCCCTTAAGCGTTTTGAGGTTACTCTTCAAGCCTGCTACGCTTACTCTGAATTTCTTTAATTCAAAACTTTGAAATAGCATCTCGCAGCTAAAACCAAGAACATATTAGGAGACTTCCTCTGAGCATTGATTTTTGAAAAAATGATTTCTCCGATTTATTGATTTTATTATTGATGTCTATAATAAAACCCAGGTTTAGAATGGACTTGGATATTGTTTCCGTTATCATTGTAATGTGTCAGTTTCAACGTAGAAAGAAATCTTGAAGAATAGAAAATAGGAAAGAATAGTTTATTGAAAATGCGCTTTTCTTTCATCTGAAATATGTTGGCAAGTTACATCAGTGTTCTTTTGCAACGTAATCCAAAATAAATTCTGTACTTTCTGTACACGAAAAAATTGTTCCCATACTCGTAAGACTAAGTAGCGCACTGCTTACTTTCACGGATCACACATGAAGAGATCTTTCTGAAATAGAAACATGTTTGACTAAGTCACGTTGAATATTAATTCAAAGTTTTTCTTGCTTTTCCACTTTCTACTCGAAAATCACACGCGACTTCATTATAAAGCAGTGCATTCATAATTGAAGAAAGCGTCTCTTCGAGTATACGCACCAAGATTCGTTCAATGAAGTATTCATTTTGAGTCTGAGAACGTAGTTCTTTTCATAAAAAGACCTAGAAACCTCTATTGAACACATAAAAAACACTGAGGATGCACAACGACTGCTACTTTTATTGAAACTGTTTCGTGGCATATATCCTTTCTCATTGAAGCTAGCTTTGGACGAATTACTATTCTAGTTGTACATCGCATGGTAAACCTATTTCATGGAAACTATTCAAATCCTAACATAAGCAACTGATTTAAATAAGTTTAACAAAAATTTTTGAATTTTTTTCCCACTTACATTCGTGTTGTTTTCATAGGAAGTTGTCTGCTTCTTTCTTATGTTACGCATGTGGGATAATGAGATTAACTCATCTACTGACCGTGTATTAACCCATAATGAATACTTAGGAATGATAAGAAAGAAAATAAGTATAGCTAATGTGTATGTTAGTCTAATAACTCAAAAGATTTCCGTATTCATATTGAATTTCTAAAGATATCTCTTGGGTTCTCGAGGGATTGGATCCAAAAGTCCGCAACGGCCCTCTCATAAAACATATAAGTATTGTTGCATTCAGAAGAAAATCTCTATTTCTAGAAAAATGCACAAGAAACATTTTTATTATGTAAGAGAACAAGATTTCATTGAAATGTATTTATACGAACAGCGATTCTGTTTCTTTTTGCACTTTCATCCTATATCCATTTGTTTAGCTATCATTTTCGAATAAAACTGAAGGAAAACACCTCTCTAGTATATAGATTTTCCGTAATGCATATCCATTCTCATCAAACAGTAGTTTTTTACTCCTTCTCATTCACTTTTACTAGTGTACAAAAAAAAAACTGTTTTTTTTTCATTCAGAGTTATTTGAAACTTCATTTTGATGAGAGATGATTATTTTTAAACTGAAAGATGAAAAAAACACTTGACATTATCTTTTTCACATTCCGACATGTAATTAGTCAAAAAAGATTTACATTAACATCAGCAACCTAGAATCGTTAGACTGGAAGACTCGAAAACTTCGACTATATTCAAGAAACTAAAACTGACCCTCATCAAGACTTTATAACATAATAGTTAAAAAAACTTGCAGTCTTAAGCACTTCACTATTACTGAAACTCTGACTTTAACATACTGACAAGCTTCCCTTTAAAAAAAAAGAATCTTCAGATTTTGAAAATTCTTATCAATAAAAGCGTTCATTTTAACAAAATATTTATAAAAGTTTTATTAAATAACGACTTCGACCGTCTTCATGATTTTGTTTTTAGAACATTCGCAGACTCGAATGCTTTGGTTGATTTTATAACTGTGGAGTTAAAGCACTTGAGAACTTCAGGTCTTGACTACGATGACTGATTCCAAAATTTTATATTTTAGAGTCTTGATGACTTCAAGTAAGACCAAAAAGTTTTCAGACACTTAAAACCACCTTTATCCGTTCTGAACAGCGATTTTGGTTCCTGCATATGTGCATAGGACTGTAATAGAGAGATTTGGATCAAATTTTCAGCCCAATACCATTAAGTTTGAGGCAGATATGCACCCAACAAGGATCACACATAATTTATTTGGCCACCCAAACTTCTCTGTTGGTCTTCATTCTAGTGCATTTTTTTTTTGTTTAAAAGAGCATGTCAGTATCCAAAATATGACAGAGACGTTTAATAAATAAAAAACCATAAAAAATGTTGAGTAAGTAATCGATTTTTTTCTGATTTTTTTGAGCTTTTGAACATCGGATTTCTTTTCCTTGATTAAAAAGTAAGAATTTAATAAATGTGGAAATCTCAGATTTAAATCCGAGTGTTATGTGTACTTCAAAAAGTAAAAACACAGAAGTAATTTCCGTTTAAGTATCTTTGCAATAGGTGACTTAGCCTTCTTGTTTCTTAATGTTCTATATACCATTTTGTAGTCGGTGAAATTCTCTATCGAATAGTGTATAATAGCTGAGGTTTTGTTTGATTATGAGAGAAAATTTGTTTTCTACAAAAACCGGGATAGGTCAATGTTCGCGTAGAAAAGCATAGGAAATACTGACATTTTTTGCGATAACTCAGCAATATCTTGACGAATCATTCTCATCTTCGAACTCGACCGAGATATCAATGAGACGATTTTGTGCGCAAAATTTCATCACAATCGGACTATCCTTTGAAGAGTTGTCATGTAAACGGCCGGACATACTGACCGATCCTATAGTGTACTCACTTTTTGAGAACACAAATATGAGGGTTATCTCATGACCTGAATCTTGACATGTTTTTATAAATAAAATAAAATAAAATATATAGAATGAAGGCCAACACAGAGTTTCAGATTGTCAAATGAGCTACTTTCGAGCCTTGTTTAGTGAATTTCTTCCTCAAATCCAATGATAGTGTCCGCACACTTTCTGAGCTGACTGTCAATGGTTTTCAAAATTTCGAGAAAGTCTACTGAGCATCCGCAATCTTGAACTTTTTAATCGTTGCTTACGGTTTCTAATAGTTTTGCGAAAGCTTAGAAGCCATTTCTTGTAAAAGATATAAAGGACTCTTTTCATCTTTTTATCCTTTCGCCTCCATTGAAAACAAGAGAAATAGATTTATGACTCACGAGGTGGTGGTAGACTCAAAGATTTGAATGGTTTTGATGTTACATGCGGCGTAGCCATAGCTAATGCTGATTCTTCCTGTTGATAATCTGCATTGTCATTCACTTCTTCTAAATGAATCAAATGCAGATTGCCATGTTCAAATCCGATACTTTTGACACGTAATCGAGTGCCGATTTCTAATATAACTTCGAATTCATTCGGATACATAGTATAACCAGCCACATTTTTTCCATTGACAGCTTCAATCATGAAAAGTGTTGATTCTTCATTCGGTTTTAAAAACGCTTTGACAACATCTACTGATACTGAGCAAGAACTGATAGTCCACCACGTTAATAGTTGATCTTTCTTATAATCATTAGCCACATTGCCAGGTACAGCTCGCCAAACGATTCCTTTTATCGTAGGTAATTTATTGAGTGCTGTATCGAATAATTTGAGGAAGGGAAACCATGGTTTTAACTCATTTCGATCTTCTTTTCTCAATATTTCATTCAACTTGAGGTAGAAACTTTGATCATCCGCTTCCATAGTATATAACAATAAAGCAGCCGATTCATCACGAGTAAGATTGTGTTCTGATGGATATGTGCAACACTTTTTGGCTTCTTTGATGGAACGTTGTAATTCATTGATTTCAGACAAGAAAGGGTGCAATGCTTCTTCGAGAGAAACAAGTCGATAAGTCCAGTAACCAGCAATTGGTGTTAGTTTCTTATTTTCAATTTGAAATTCTATAAATCGAGTCATTATTTTTCTTAAGACTGTTCTACAATAAAGATATAGTTCGGGATAGATGTCAATATGACGATTTGGTGCACTCTTAAAAAAAAACATTTTCTATGAACCCAAAATAGTGTGGTCATCTGGATAGAAAATACATTTCTTGATAACTATATTCGACCTCTTTTAACTGCCGTATTTCTTATGTCAAATCTTTTACTTTTTTACTCAATCCATTGTAGCTATGTCTCATGTGTTAACATTATACTTAACTCATCGTAACTATATCTAATCCCTTAGTTCTATTGCGAAACTTTTATTTCTATACTAAACTTCTTCGAAGTATATCCTTAGTTCGTCATTTTTAGATATGTAGTGTTGTAATTGCGTTATTTTTCCTTTATCATTATGCCTACACCGTAAGAGATTTACGTTTTCATCTTAATCTTAAAGTGTGCTTGATAGCACCAAAACACTTGCAGATATATTCTTGTGCCTTTATTTTCACATTTATATCGCTTTCCTGTGTCCTAATCTCTCTATTCTTATCTGTGCATCACGACACTAATAGCCTTGAACCTATTTGCTTTTTGTTGCACTAGCAGAAATTTTCAAAGATTCAATTTGATGGTTGAACTAATAATAATCAATCATGAAAATTTAATAAAAGAGAAGGAAATGAAAAAAGTGGTCCGTCGAAAAAAGATTATTCGAAATTTGAACGATTTTCTACACTATGAATATTTTCAAGAAGACATGTAAGTTCCACATTTTAGCCCCAAAGGAATTTCGATAACGAGCTATTACGGTATGCTTACACGTATATCTAAGGATCGGTAGCGTTTGCCCTGGACTCTACAGGTCTACCTCTGTACATGTAAGGCCAATATAAAAAAAAAAAAGATGATCGCAATATTTGACTATGCATAATCCCTTTTACACTAGTCAATCGAATGCGTACACAAAACTGGTAGAGTTTTGTTAGACCAGATCAGTCAGGTGCATCACTTGATTTAATTGCCAAAACACTGATAAAAAATCGACCAGTTCAATTATAGAATACAATTAGCGTAAACAGTGGTCCATTTCATGTATTAATTAATGAACTAGTTCTTTTTCAAAAAGGATTGTTGGAACTTCTAAAAAGACCACTTCTGTTCTAGTCTGGCACGTTCAACGTACATTAATATAAGAGGGAAAGAATAACTATTCTAAAACTTTTAATTTAGTAACTCACATCAACTGATATTGAACAATATCTAATCCATTTATGTTCAGAAATTGATAAGTTTGATGTTTTCTTATTTGACATTATTATTTAGCATAATAGGAAGGCTTTTCAATTCGTATGAGACTAATACTACCTATAGACAAACTGAATCAGTTGCCAAGCTCGGTTTTTTGTGTCTAGATATTTTCATAGTTACACGAGACTAGTAGTTAACATAAGTTTCACCATAGAAGAAAATCTTGCATTGACTACTATTCTAGTTACCCATGAAAAATTAGTGATGAAGAAGAATCGTCCAGAACTCGTTCTTGAAAATATGGCACGCAATAGCGTCAAAAGCTGAACACAAGATGAGACCTACAAAAATTAGTGGAAAGTTAGCATATTTCTGTGCAACTATGTGAATATTGATCACCCATATCAACAGGACACGCTAGCGACACATGTATTAGTTGCATTTCTTGGATAAATAAAAGCATATTATGGATAAAGGTAAAAAAAGAAAAAAATGGTAGTTTCTTTAGATACTCTTTAGTTATTTATTAAGTTAAAATCTTAGTGTTAAAGCACACAATGAATAAGTTTATTATCATCTTTGCTTGTTTTTTTATCTTTAAATGTTGACAATTCATTCATTTTTTCTCTTAGACTTTTGAATCAACTTATTAAAAACGTTAATGTGAATTGGTTTTCTAAATTTTTCCTAATTTATTGGTGTTTTTTAGAATATGAATCAATTTTAAAAAATACACTTCTTCTCTATACAAAGCATTTGTTAACTTTTTCCCTTTTATGAAGTCTCAGCGATTTGAAATTCGAGAAAAAACATTCATGTTTTTTATCACTGTAGATATGATGTTTTAGGCATATTTAGATGCTATTTTTGTCGTGAAACTTAAACAATTTTCGTCCAAAAATGACAAAAGCTCATGAAGATTACAATACACCAACCATATTAAGTCTTGTTAGTCTCAATATATGTCCAAATTGTTACGTCTTATTAGCCATTGATTTCGAGAGAAAAATCATAGATGCTTTTTGAAAAATATTGTTTGATTATTAAGAAAGTCAATACTTTCGATATGGTAGCATAAAAACAATGTATTCGGATTTTGTATTCAACGATTTTATCCATTAGAAGCTGAGTTTTATATGAAATACATTTCTCTGAGCAATCAAACAATTTTTTTTTCTAAGTACATTATCAATAAGATGAAGAAAATTTAAACAAATATTGAGACTAACCCAAATTTGATGCGCTTGGCGTACCTAAAACAGCACGTGTTGAGCTAACTCTATTAACTATATGTGATTCTCCTTATATTAATGAAGTTTTTCTTCAATAGTTTGTTGTGAATACTTTATTTTGTATTTGAGTATTCATTTTTTGTAAAATTGTGAATTCTCAATTCATATAAAGAGATAATAAAGCAGATGCTGATAAAAAAAATATCAGATATAAATATTCTCATAAATTGGTCAACACTTAATGTAAAAATATAACACAGACACATCTCAACATCACAGCTGCACATACGTGAAAATACATCAGAGAAACATGCTATCTATCGAACAATCTCAGGTGGGAAATTGAAAGACGTTCTTGTCTCTAATTGATGAATTTGTTAAGAAAATACAATGACAATTTTTTGTAGATGTCATGAAGAAGTACGAAGAGTTCTAGTTTGCAGAAAATTTAATTCTCTACAAAGTTAATAATAATTTAAAACGTTAAATCTGTTCTTTTTTGCGAAAGAAATTAAATTCGAAAGCCGATCACTCATTACGAACGAAAATTTCGCAAAAAATAAGCTGTTTTGAGACTGTTTCAATACCAATATTCACTCTCAGCATTAAAAACGGGTTTTTCAAAATTATGGCTTGATAATGTTTGAAAAATATTTCTTTCGAAATGTAAAGCGCAAAAAAATTATGCAGAGATTTATGTAAGTTTTATTTTTCAAACAAAATCTCAGGGAAATCACGCGTTATTTCGAATATGTTTTCAAGTTACATTATAGTTAACAAGAGCTTTCAAATACTGAATGAATCAGATCTCTAACTATAAATGCAGCTGATATTATAATAAACACAAAAAAATGTCTTAAAATTATTTCTACTACTTTATTTGAAGTCAAGTTTTCTTAAAACCATAAGAGTTCTTCAATTTTTTCGTGTCTACATGAACAAGTGACGAAAGTTGTAGTTACTTGTACAAAATATGTACTGTTCTCATCCATACAGTCATTTTCGTATACGATATAAAATGCATGCAGATAAGGACCTTGTATATCATGTAGAAATACCAAGTTGTTAAAGATGATGTATTGTAAACGTGAAAAAAAAATATATTTAGAATATTACGTATCAGTGTTTAGTATTGCTAAAAGAGAAAAATAAATGTATCAATGACATAACGAAAAAAGTAAGGCTTATAAATAACGTCATAAACGAAAAATCATCTTTCGATTTAATAGAACCTATTCAAGCATAACTACGTTTTTTCTTTCTCTATGACATCACTGTTCTATTTGATGTGCTGATTGATGAAACAAATACGCTTATATATTAGTGGTTATTTCTCAATGCTGTGTATGAATATTGTTTTACAATCAGTTGATATAATAAGATTTATACATATTCAGAATCATCATAAGATGAGTAATAATTTCTACTCAATATTATATTATACTGAGCATTTTTCAAAAAACAAATAGATGACACCAGATGATTTTTTCCATGATGAAATATTGACATGAAATGACTGAATCATATACAACTATCTATAGGTATATAATATGCAAACTATTGCTGTTTAACCTATTATTTTCTGCTTTGTTCTTCTCTGTTACAAAATCTATAGTACATATTTCAACAAGTTATTTATTTTGTAATTATTAATATAAAATTGTAGCTCAAAATATAAAGATACAATGAAACTATATTGAATTAATCGAATGAAAAAAGCATTTTCAGATGATTCTTTATTCTGAAAAGATTTGAATAAGATAAAAAGAGTGAACTATTCGTTTATTTTGCTCTTCAAATTATAGGATTTTTCAATTCAAAAAACTAATAACATTATCCTTATCAAAGCTATATGATGCTCAAGCGTTGTTGATACTTTCATTGCCTTTGTATAGATAGAGATGTTTGTTAATTTACAGATCTAGTATGTTTTGTTAACGAAGGATCGATAATCGACGTATGATTTGAGCACTTTATTGCATTATACGAACAAAAACATCGTACATAGTTGAGAATATTTACCACATGTCTACATATTAGAATTACCTGTACATTTGCAACACTAATAGTATGAAATATATTTAAAAACTTACAAATATATAAAGTCCCAATTTACACGACAAAACGAAGAATTCTGTTTAGGTGAAGGCATTTTTATCGTTTATTTTATTTTCATGACGTAGTTATTTTTTTCAAAATCAAATAGTTCATAATAACGATAAGAAAGATTCTGGGAGTGTGCACTTCTTCATATTTGATATTATTTACTAAAATGATTTAAATCAAGAGTTGAAATTTTCAGTGCTTGTGACTGCCTTTCTTCATGATGAATAAAATCATAAATAAGTCTTTCAACAATCTTAGTGTCTTCTTCAATCATAGGAAAAGCAGAAAGTTTTTTAAGTTTACCATTATGATGAGGACTAGCAAAAAGTGTTTCGAAAAATATGATTGTGGATATTTTTTTGAAAAGCGAAGTTGTATCATAACATTTGCCACCATGCAGAATCTCTAGAAATATGCTGTATTTATTGATTAACTGACTATGCATTATAATGCAAGTTATATTTTATGCTTAATCGTTACGAATGGTAGAATCAACAATAAGTAGTGACATCATTCAAAAGATCATAGTCTCAATGAAGAACCAGAGATGTATTAGCTTCATCATGATTAGATTCATGAGATAAAGAGTCTTCTGTTGGTGGATTATCTAGAATTTAGATAAATAAAAAATTTCTAGATAGAATAATCTGAAACACTAGTAAACCATCAGCAAAACATACATAATAGATGCAAATTGATCGAACGTTTGGAATAATAGTTTTCGTACTTTGACATATTATGATATGTCTGAGAAAGGTGGAAGGCACCACTTTATTCAAGTGTTAATTATACTTGCTGAATGACGTGTTTTCATAAGACAGCATATTAATTATTTTCATCGTAACAGTCGTGCACAATAATTGATTTAATTTTATGTCTCAGAAAACGAAATTAACTACTTGAAACTTGAAAAAAATAGTCAAACTTTCATAAGAAATGTATAATGAAGTTTCGGAAGGTGAGGTTGACATATAAATGAGCAATTCTTTAAGAAGTCAACCAGAAAACATAACAAAATATTCAAAATTGTTTCCTTGATATCAAACATTGTGGAGCTTTTTTCGCTGATTATTTTCATAAAAACATTTCCTGAATTTCATTGAGTAATGATAATGTTATAGTCCAAAATACTAAACGCTGTGAAAAGTCTTAAAACGCGTTTTTGTCTGATAAATAAACATAAAAAATCGATTCGCATATATCAAAATGGTTATACTATATAGAAATGCGATATAGTAGGTTTTATAGAAGAATGTTTTCTTGACGAAACTCCTCAGTCGGTTTCTCAGATATATTCGAATAGTATATTACTAAATCTCGATAGAACATTACATACAATATTCGTATGAAAAACATTTAATACCTCTTCTTTTTACAATAAATATTGTATGTAATGTTCTATCGGAATTTAGTGATACTATTCGAATATATCTGAGAAACCGACCGAGGAGCTTAGTGAAGAAAACTTTTCACTATACATGTAAAAACCTACTACGTCACATTTCTATATAGTATAACCATTTTGATATATGCGAATCGACTTTTTATGTTTATTTATCAGACAAAAAAAAAACATTTTAACCTATTTAACAGTGTTTAGTATTTTCGACTATAACATTATCATTTCTCAATGGAAGTCAGGAAATTTCTTTTTACAAAAATGATCACCAAAAAACTCTACAAAGTTTCACATTAAGAAAACAATTCTAAACACATTGTATGTTTTCTGGTTGACTTCCTATAAAACTGCTCCAATATGCTTCAGTACCACTATTTGCCAACTTTCGTATTTAATAAAAATTTTTCTTTGTAAAATTTCTCAATTAAGTAAAGTCTATCATTTTGGTAAATTATATCTTTTTTTATTAACAGTAGTGATAGAATCAGAGAAAAAAACGAAATATATCAACATTAGATAGAGAACTTTAATATGCCTACTACTTAACAAATTGTGGTATAGGCTGATATTAGCATAGGTGAAGTTAGGTCTGTATTCGACTAAATTCGTGCAGAATTCTTGTAGAAGCATGTTCCAAGTACAAGTTACTCAGCTCTATTCAATCGTATTATTGAATTGTCCATCGATCAAACTAAACCACTCTAAATCTCCGTTACTTCGTTCTTTCGAAAGGTCTTCTAGGTACTTACGTAAGGATTCATCTGGAAACATGTTTCGGGATTGCGAGTCGGGATCTGAACGTCAATAAAGAGAAGACACACATTCACAACCACACTCTAATAGTTGATTGTGTTTGTTTTGATATTCATTTGACTCTATGTTTTGAAAAAGCCCTTGATGAATTCAACAAGTTGGTGCCTATATGAGTCTTCGTGCAGCATTACAAATATGTCGTAATCTTAGTCAACAAACACATCAACGTTTAGAACAATTTCTTCTTCAACATTCATAACGATTGATACATGTCATTGCTGAACTCATTGATTTATCAGATGAATGAAAAATTCCTGCTTATTTAATAACAGATGATTTTCACGTTCATTTTGTTCGAGTAAAACATATTGTTTTATTTCTAATTTTGATATTTCTCTTTATTCATAAGCGAGTTGGTAAAATATAGAAACAAATGAGTACTATTAACATTAATACAATACCTGGGAATAAGTAAAAAATAAAACATTCAGACAATTACAAATATGCTAATTACACTTGTCTTCAAGATCTCTGTTTACAGAGAAGTTCATTGTAATGATATTGAAGAGATTTTACTTCAAATATCTTTTCTTTTGATTTACAAAGATCATCAAGTTTAAATTCGAAGCATTCGAGTGACAACATGGCTCTTACACTACTGTTGCTTAAATGTCAATTCTTTGATTTGGTTTTTTAGACAGGACTTTGTTCTAGAACTCATTATGTTTACCTGTCAATCGACAAAATAAAGCTTCTACTTCTTCAAATATAAGACTGAACTGTTTTCAAAATAAATAAGAAGAAACAAAATAATTTGATTTAAATACATCAGCCTTGAGAAACTTGTTAATTCATAGAACATATATATATTATCATCAAATCATAGAGTTCTCAACCAAATATATACAGTTGAGGGTTGATTTTTAATGAAAGAAAAGATTTAAGCAGAGAAACATAAGTTATATTTTATTTTTTATAATATGAACTGATCTAATAATAAAATGTTACATATTTTATATAAGTATTCAGAATTATTTTAACGACAAATAGCACTCTTAAATAGTAACTTTCCTTTTGTAGCAGCTGCTCGTTGATGAAGTGTTTCTTTATTTGAATTTATTTTGATTGGATGAATATGAGCAATATTATTATTAGGCATAAGTTTACGTGCTTCATTTTCATTTTCAATCATTTTATCGTTTGTATTCATCACTGGATTACAATCAGTAGTTGATGGTCGTTTATTATTATCAAGTGCTTTATCTTTTTTAGTAACAACTAAATCTTTTTCACCTTCTATAATACCAATTTTATGATTAAGCCAACGAAATTTTGCTCTGATTTCTTCATGTATTAAATCAACGCACATAGCTAAATTTGCTAGTCCAAAAAGTTTGTATACAGCGCGAAAAATAAGCTTAGCACCAGTATTTGGACCATCTTTGCTTTAACCGGGTATCAAATATATTATTTGTTTCTTAATTTAGAAAAAATGAATTATAAAATAAGTTAACTATGTCATTCGATGGTTTTTCATATCAAAACGTCTTCATCGTCACAGTAAGAATTTGTTATGAATACTGATAAATGAATAAGAGTATATGATTAGCAAGACATTCAACACCTGTTCTAGCAGAAGAAAGAAATGGACACAATCTCGATGCTTATACCAAAGCCAATAAGAATAATCGAGACCGGAAAACCATGCCGACTAGATACAGATTGAAAGAATAAGTACATTGAAATAGCTCAAGATAATTAAAAACTCATGAACACGAACTTTTAAGTGGGTACCGTTCGTTAGGAATGAAACCCAAAGGAACTGGAAGCCTGACATCCTTAATCGTGATCAGTGGGAAATGTTAATATCATTCCGATGGACAAAAGAATATGGTCTACAAAGAACTTTTGAATATAGAAAACGAAATATTTTACCAAGAAAACCGCTTATCTTTGCAGCACATAAACGAAATATTGGTATACCTTTTGAAAAGAATTTATTTATTTTTCATACCAATCGTAACATAACATATGCAACATATTTGACGTTTCCCTATAACATATTTAATATTTAAAAAAACTTAAAGAGAAAAGTCGCTCTTACATGTCTTTGGACTAAATTTAAAAAAAAAACAAATGGAAAAAGAAAATATCGTAATGTATTATTTAATTTTTTTTATTACGTTATCTTTTCATCATCAACTGTTGTAATAATTGTTATTGCAAAAAGAAATGAATTTGCATATGTTCATTTAGTAATAATTGTACAACTATTTCATAATGTCGATATTTTGAACCAGTAGATATAACAAAAACGCGATAATTATGTAACATCGAACCAATTATTACATCTGCAACTTTTGTATTATCTTTTTTAGTTGAAAATATCAATATTGCTGATGTTACATTGTATTGTATATAGGCAAGAAGTTTTGGTGTAACTTTAGTTACTTCAGTCATATGTTTACTGTATGCTTCTTGACAATTTAATTTTTCGCGATGTTTTTCAAGTAATGCAAATAAAAATTTTCCAGCAATGGTATAAACAATAACAATACAAACTAAACGAATAGGCGAAAATAATTTTTTTTTTAAACATTGGCGTATTTTGAATATTTCTATTGCATCAAATTTACGTTGTGATTGATGATTTGGATAAGTATTATAACGAATGATCGTTATATCATTTTGTTGAATACTACCAATAATATTTTACTTCTCTTATTTTTTTTCAATACTATGCACATTTAAAATAACAGCAAGAAAAAGGTTATCTAATAAATTCATATTAAAAGTGCGCATATAGACATACATTGATCGCATTTGGTAAATGTTGTCTAAGTCTGTGTGAACTTCGATACTTCCTACATTAAGAAACAAAGGAGAATTTTGAAAGTGAACGCCGAGATCTATTCCTTAACCAAAGTTTTTAGAATATTTTACTGCAGGAAACGAAAGTTTCGGCATGCTAGTTTGCTTCTTTTTTTTGTTCGATATTTTTACTTGTGACTTGTGTTTAAGTATCTCATATTGTTATTTCAATGTACATTTATATTTATTAAAGACAATGTTGCTCTATTTATTATGTATTTTTGTATTAAAATGTATGCAGTCAAAATTGTGATTCTTTTGTGTAAAAAAATTAGCTTTCTTGCAGGTTACTGATACGCTCATACCCAGTAGCTCCGCATCTCTTGGCAGCGTAAGTATTACTTGAGTACCGGTTTCAGCACCCCAACGCATGTCTTTAGCACATTCTACGTTGGTAACACTAGCTCGATTAACACTGACAACAAACGTACTTTCCACGAGCGTTGGATGTGCCGCAGTAATGGTAAAGCTTTCCGAGTTTTCGCTGTATAGTATCACACCTGCCTGTTCCATATAAATACTCAGTGATATATCACTGCAGTTGTAAAATACACCAGTATCGATAATAAACGCATCATCAAACAGAGCAACAGAAGCTCGCTGAATTGATGGCTCACAAGTACCATGTAGATAAAGCGATCTGTTATGACTTTCTGGTAGTTCGAATATGCGTGCACTATTTGCCAGAAATAGATAGCGTTTCCAGAGCGCTTGCATTGTCTCTACAGTTACGTTAGGTACAATCATATATCTATAGCTCAGCGGTTTGTTTGTCGGCCCTCTCCCATGGATGATAGCGGCAGTAAGTAGGCGTCCATGCATTTCGAAATCCCATGGACCAAACTGATTAACGTTGCCAGATTTATTGCGGCAGTCAAGTACCAGTGCAGCGTAGTCGTCCAATACTATCCAGGTGGTTCCATCAGCGTGAAACCAAAGTACTTGAGGATCCCCTGATGAAAACGAATAAGTGCCGTCCAGCAAAACCTCCACAGTTCCGTTACTCCACTGTATTGTTAGTATACCAGCTGCAGTGTCTGCTGGTGGCAGCAATCTGCTTGCGACTGTAGTCTGCAAGAGTGCTGTAGTGTTATCTTCAATCCCGTTCGCCAAAGCTATAATGAAGTCATCGTAAAAGTGCCATGTTCGCTTAGCCATCAGATTATGTGTAGCAGTATCCATTATTGCAGTACCATAATGGCCATCACTGACACCACCGACAAATGTCGTGTTCAACATAGCAAGCTTACCCCTGTTACATCGTACCAATGGTGTATCAGCTTCCACCGTAATTCCATTGATAGTCTTCCAATCGAGTAGGGCGAATATGTTTTCATATTCTTCTCCACTTCCATATTGAGCATCGCGTGTATATAAGTTGAGTACACCATCGCCAATGTGTTCACCATTCAAGTTTTCATTATTATCACATTCTGTGGCAATTGTTCGAAAAGAATGCATTTTCAATGCCGCCGTCCAGTTTCCTCTACGATGCACCTGAAAATCACTCGTGTAGAAATGACGATTTCCCACTAATGGTCGAGCTTCATGACGATGTTCAAGTCGATCAGCATAATCCAATAGTGCAAAGGCAGTATAGGCGCTACTAACGTCCATAGCTAGTGCTCTCAATTGATCAGACGGAAATAAATGTGTATACCATACGTGTACGCCGCGGTCAATCACTCGACCAAGAATACCCCATGTCCAGACACTGCCCATAGTGAACCAGGCATCACCTTCTGTCAAAAAACGACCGAAGATATCAATCCGATCTTGAGACAGTGCATATTGTGTACCACGTGTAGCAAGATGAAAATGCAAAATGTTCGTTGCCCAAGCATCACCATATGCTCCTGTCAGTATCTGTGGTCCGTGAAAATGATACGACCAATCCGTTTGTACACCCCAAGTGGAAAGATTCTGTATTTGCACAGTGTTCCACATGACCTCGAAGCCTTGTGCAACTGCAGAATAGTTGGATGTAGCCAGTCCACGATATAGTTGTACTTGTAGCTCCCATACTAGATTAGCGCCACCACCCCAATCTTTTATCCACCAATTAGCACGATACGACATAGCAATAATAGCATTGATCTCCTCTGAGCTCATTCGCTCTACGCCTAACATGAGCATTATTCCTGTGGCGATCAATGGATCTTGAATATAATTCCACCACCAATTAGGATTCTGCCAATCTTGCTCTATCCAGACTCTCAGTGCACAATGCACAGCCCACAACAAAACTGTATCATTTTCTCTTCCACCTGGAACAGTTAATGCTGCAGTCATAGTAGAAATACGAAACATATGCAATACAGGATCCCAATTTTCTGGACCACGGGTAGAGTAATTCAAGTCAGGCCATTGGCATGTTTTTGGATCCAATGTACTTAAATTGCCGATCGCTTGTGCGAGTGTGGCATTAAGCTGATCTGGTGTAGGCCATAGCATTAACTTGCGTACATTCTCACGTACAATGGCAAAGTCATCTTGCAGTGTTGTAGGAGCAGCGAAAAGGATTGATGGCAAAAGGAATAGCAAGAGTTGTGGAGAGAGTAATATGGTTAACTTTTTGATACTCTGAGTCACGCTCATGATCAACATTAAAATCATTATGTGTACCTATAAATCCAAGAAAAATGTCATTATATTTTTCATTTAGCCATATATGAATTATAGGAATCTATCAGATTGCTGCAAGAAGTTTGTCTTAAAGCGAGACAAAGGCATTACACATAAGTTATTACTTATGTCGTTAAAATGAGTTTACCTTCGGTCTATCTTAATGACTATCATTAATTTTGTTTCTTTATTTTTCAGGTTACTAATTATTTCGGAAACATGGTTAAGTAGTATAAGATATCAGCAATACATAGATAGTGAATTGCAAAACATAACAACATTATCAATAGAGAGTTTCTACTTTTTAGGTAACACACCGATCGAACTACTCATCCTGGTGATCTTGACTTTATAACTATGAACTTCTTAATTGTATGAATTCAAATCTATTAGTTATTCTCTCAAAAGAAAATGATCTTTTAGTCATTTATTTGAAATAGTCTTTTTGGTAGTCTTTTTGAATAAGTTTTTTCTCCAGGTCAAAGAGGATAACGCATCTGTAGCTACTTTATTAGACAGATACATACCTTATTCTTACAATAAAATTAAAGTAGTGCACCTTTTATGCTCTTATCTTTTCTTCATATGACTGAAACTGAAAAATGTGTTATCAATGCACGCGTCTGCTGCTCAAGAGATAACAAATATCATTTTCAGGTTATTGTACGGGTGTGAGCTAACATACGAACACATATCAAGCTTGAAAATTGAATAGTTGAATTTCAAGTATTAATTCGGTCATGTATAACGGTATTTATGATACAGACATACACACGGCATAGCACTTATATTGAATAATTGAACATCTGAAATGAGAAGTTTATTAATTGAATACTTGAAATGTGGTTCAATAATTGCATTCAAGTTCCAAGTTTTACACTACTCGTAGTATGCGAACGCTACAAAGAGTTTTAATCCGATTGAGCTGAAATTTTCACGAATTATTCTCTCATGTGTGATTTATTGTTCGTCATAGCGCCGTATTGCATCAGTTAATACAGTTCGACCGAAAGATATTCTGCAGAATCAGGCTTCTGTCCGGAAATAGCTAGTTTTGAGAACATTTTGATGCAAAACTAAGATAATATTCGAATTCAGTTCGTAACCAATCTTTCCGTATTTTTTAAATGCCAGAAAGAGTTTCAGTGAGATTGACCTCAAACTTTCACTGATGATTCTTCCACAACTGGTGCATTGTTGATCTTAGCGCCACTTCGCACCTATTATCATAGTTGATGCTACGGGCCACACATTACAAACAGCATCAATCGAGTTTAGTTCAAACTTTGAGTTAATCGTGCTCCATGTGGACTCTCTCGATGTCTATACTGTCAAAGACCATTAGTGAATGTCAACGAAGTTAGGAGTTTCCAAAAACCTGTTTTTTTTACCTTAAATTCCTATTATATTCCATAACATATCTTTCTAGCGTGAAACTATGTTCAATGATGTGCGGAACATTATGTTTCATAGTACAAACAGTTTTTCGAAAAAAGTGGCAAGGCTTCGCTACGAGTAATTTTTTTGGAGAAAAATTATTTTTTCAAGAAATAATATATTTTCTTAAATTTGATTTCTTAAATGATATGTAATCAATTTGGAATAGTAAAAACTCATTGTCGAGTACGGAAATTTACTTCCTTATTTCGGATTTATATACAATAATAAATTGTCTGTCGAAATGATCGTTGACTGAATTTTTAATAACTTATAGGTGTACGAGAGTGAAACTAAATATTGGATGGAATAAATATTCGTTCAATTACAAAATATTGATGATTAAAATGTTGAGCCAATATTAGAAGGCATGATGTTCGAAATAAGTTCTCATCATGAGTTATTGAGAAGACAAAAACTTCATGATTTCGTCATGCTTGTATTAGTTTTAAATTACGGTAAAATAAAAAGCCTGGAAGTGCGTAAAACTGATACATGAATTGTATGTAATTTAGAGTCTCAGTCGATCTTACAAGAAACTTTTAACAGTTAAGTCTAATTGATTGCGCTGCGTTGCTGCGCGAACAAAACGAGTTCTGAAAATTGAGTTTTCTGAAAGGATACATAACACATTTAGTTTTATGGCCAAGTTTCACATCAGTTAATGCTTGGTGCTTTATATTTTAGTTTTGAGAATGACACTTCGATAACATGATGATTTTCTTCAGGCAATAAAAAGATACACAAGTCATCTAGTATATTTTATGCTCAATCGTTTTCTTCTTTTCTTTGTCTTTTGAAATCTATGAATTTGATCCATCGGTCTTAAATAAATAAATAGAATGATTAGTGGAACTGATCTGAATTTCATCTTTATTTCTCACTTTCGATCCTTAACAATCATCGGTAGACACAAACATCAATGAAAACAAAGAGTAAATCGAATACAATCTTAAATAGATAACTCATCCTGATTACTGAATACTATGTAATTATTGCACCTTGCAACTCGTTGAAATAATGTCAGAAGTTAGTTTCCAGCGAGGGTTGGACAACGTTCCGATCCGTGACAAAAATATTAATTTTAAGCGGAATTTTGACGTTCAGGTCAAAAATGCTTCTCTTAATAACGTCACACGCGAGGATAAAATTATAAAAGAGTTCGATTGACAGATAAAAACTATTCAACCGGCAAAATTAAAACTCATGGGCGTGGCCACGCATTGGTCACCCTCGCATGGGGAAGGCTTAAACTCACAAACATAAGGAAAACTCTCTAAAATCAAAAGTGCACTACCGACAGTTTATGAAACATGTTGCAAGCTTTGAGATACTTTGTTGACCAGCGATATGAACCCTATTTTCATTCTACAAGGGTCTACAAAGAAATTTTTGACTAATTTTACTAAAACAATTTAGTATTCAATCCTGTTATATTTCATTTTTTGCCTGAAAAATAGACAGAATTTCTAATTTCATTTCGTCGTGAGAGTGAAACTGATACACTTGGACGATAGAACTGTCTCCGTATTACTCATGGATTAGGAAAAAGATGGGTTTTTATTATGATAATTGGAAACTTCAAAGTCTCAAACTTTTCCCATTAGAAAGTTGAAAAAAGACGAAATTCTGTAACGATTGAAATTCCGTAACGGTCAATGTTTACAGTTTTTTTATTGGATGCAATTATACTTGTTAAGAAATGAACTGATATTCTGGAGCTTGGGGAGAACTGAACAATTTCTATACAGAGCATTTAGTTGTATGTTACTTCGTTGCGTAGTAAAACCCTTAACTCTCAGCTGACCCAAAAAAAAAATTTCCATTTTTTGAAATTCCGTAACGGTCATCAATTTTTTAATAACTCAGCCTTGGCTGCATAGAAATCGATAAAATTTTTATTGGTAATAGATCTAAATGGTCTCTATATATGATAAAAATTTCAGGGAGTTTGCTGTTATTGTTGATGAGATATAAGTGTTACAATGTGAAAAAATGAAATTCCGTAACGCGTGGCCAAGCAGTCATATGAATAATGAGAATAGCTGTAGGATAAATGACATGGAACAATGAAAAAATGATTTCACCTATACGAAAACTTCTAAGATAAGTATTTGTTCATACAGATACTCATTCAGAGAAAAAATAAAAATTCATAGGAATAAGGAAGATTTTTATAGGATAAATGAAATGGAAAAATGAAAAAGTGATTCCTTCTATGGGAACAATTGTTAGATAGTTCAATCGTTATATAGATACTTATTCAGCTGAAAAATGTAAATTCATAGGAGGAATGGTTATTACTATCAGATACACAACATAACATATAAGTGAAAATACCTCACCAGAGAGCAACAACTATTGGGAAAACTGCTGAGCTCTATAGGAACAATGATCAAGTAATCTGTTTTAGTTTTTATTGTAAATGGCATAGCATTTTGAGACATTACCAATTCTCGTTAATAATTTTTGTCTAGGACGATCGCATTCTCTATCTGGTGACCTAGTGATGTTCCTCTGAACTTCTATTTAGTTTTCGATGTTTCTTTATCAGCCTCGACTAAATTTAATACTTTGTGACTTTTCTCTGACAACATTGTACTGCGTGGCACCAGAATATCAATTATTTGAGAAATTAGCTTTTCAACCAGCAATAGCAATGATTATGGAGGCTACTTAGTCATAAGCCGGGAATTCTAAAGAGATTTTGAATAGTCTTCAGTACTTCATGTACCGAAATTTCGATCTATCTTAAAAATACTTGGTTTTGAATTGTTGACTAGACTGTAATGTGTTTCGAATTAAATAGATATCGAAAGTTTTAAATAGTAACAGATAGTTTCTAATCGCAATACAAGTCTAAAAATCGATGCATTTTAAATAACTACATGTTAATTAACAGTAATGTCCGAGATCCAAAGAGATATCCGCTTTACCCTATGTCATTTAATAACAGGTGAGGCCTTTCATACAGAATGAAATTTGTGATATATAAGTAGTTAAAGGAAAGGACAAAAATAGCATAGCAACGGACTTTTCTTTCTTCAAAGGACTTTTCCTTCTGATAGCATTGTTTTTATATAAATACAAAATACATTTTGATAGATATATATCGCAGAGATTAAACTATCATATATTCTAATATCATGAGGATCTTTGGCTCGTTCAATTGGCTTGTATGTTTATAAAATAATTTTTGTTTCCGTGTCTTCATTTGGTTGACATCGATATAACGGTGATTCACAGAGATTTAATTCAAAGGGAAGAAATTGCTATATATATGAAGACTACTAGTATACTAGCGGAAAAATGAAAATCAATAGAAATAATGCTCAACTCTGTAAGAAAAATGATTCGAAGAAACGCATTTTTTCTGTTTCTTAAGAGATAAA